TAGCAGTAGCAGTAGCAGTAGCAGTAGCAGTAGGAGCAGGAGCAGGAGCAGGAGTAGGAGTAGGAGTAGTAGTAGTAGTAGTAGTAGTAGTAGTAATAGTAGTAGTAGTAGTAGCAGCAGTAGTAATAGTAGTAGTAGGTATTAGAAGCAGCAGGAGGAGGAGTAGAAGCAGCAGTAGTAGTAGTAGTAGCAGCAGCAGCAGCAGTAGGAGCAGCAGCAGCAGCAGCAGCAGCAGCAGCAGGAGTAGTAGTGTTAGAAGCAGCAATAACAGCGGCAGGCGGAGGAGGAGGAGAAGCTGTCGCAAGTAGCGTGTAGTAAGTAGTGAGTTGTAAGTCGTAGGCCGTCAGTAATAGTATGGAGTAAGTAGTGAGTAGACAGTAATAGGTAGTAGGTAGAAGATAGTGTCGTAAGCAGCGAGTACTCGTAACTAGTCAGTTTCCGCAGATAAGAAGCAGCAGACAGCAGGTAGCAACTAAGTAGTCAGGAAATGGTATAGGTTGCAGCAGCATTCGGGGTGGCTGCAGCAGTTGGAGCAAGCATTATCTCGGGATCCGCTTTCTCAAAAGACTTGCGAACCAGAGAACCTTCCCCTCCGAATTCAGCGTCATCTCTGCGACCAGCTGCGTCTCCACGCGGACCTGATATCAATGCAGGTCTTGGCATCAAGCGTCTGCACACTCGGGGCCATGACTGTGTCATGGTGCTCACATCAACACTCAACCGCTGTTGGGCAAACACCGAAAGACCGATCCTGGCGACTTGTGGCCCTTAGAACCAAGGGGCAACATGTTTAGCCCCTTGAGTTTTTACTATAATAGGATCCAAAGGCCAATAGATTCTAAGAGTCTACACCTTCAATGATGCTGTGCCAGCTACAGCGCAACTCCGAAGAAAACCAAAGTCACCTTGGAAATGTGACAGCAAGTGGCCTTTGCCCCAGGGAGCAGCGGCGCATCCGGTGGCAGCTCGCGAAGCTTCCACGAAGGCGGAAGCGGCGCGACGAAGGCAATGCTCCACCTTGAAAAAGGCAGTTCAGCTTTTTCCCAAGCCAAGCCCTGTGCTTCTGAAACCGTGTTAGAGAAAAGGCAGCACCCCCCCCCATTTTTTTTTAACACACGCGCCCCGCACCTCGCAGTGACGACTCCCGGGTTTAGACGCCAGGATTCCATACTCAAGACCTTGAAGTCCTCGAGCCTCTCCGGAACCAGCTGCTGCCAATCGCGCATGGCAGACAGGTAGCTCTCGCGGCCTTGGCAAGTTGCCAACAGGCCTTCGTAGCTGATGTCATCCGCAATGAGCGACTCATCTGTGAGGAAGGGCAGGCTCTTGGCCAGCACATCCTGCGTGAAACTCGGCAAGCAAGGCATCAAAAGGAAGTCCACCCGCTCGCGCATCATGTTGCTTGCGTTGAGACCCCGAAAACCCAGAACCGCAGAACTCTCGCCTTCGAACTCGCAAATTCAAACTCAACCCACGCGATTACACGACTCTGACGGCGACGTCCGCGTCGAGCCGCGTCGACCACCACCGCCGCCGCCCCCCACCACCACCACCACCACCACCACCATAACCGCAACCACCGCGGTAAGTCTTTCTTGAAATGATGCTACTCTTCCCGCTACTGCTACTGCATGCTGCAGCAACGACAACTGCGACGACAGGAAGAAACGCTTGCTGTTGCGCATGCTATTACGAACAATCTTCCAGATACCGTGGCTGACCTGCAAACATGACCAAGTACGATGCATACAAACCAACAACAATACAGTTAATGATGCGGCAGTACGAAGCATCATGCAGATTGACCATGATACCACAAACAAAATAGGCCGCAATAAACCATCATAGTCACAACACAAACTCCAAGAGTAACAACCGGCGATGGGAATCTAAACTCCAAAAAACTTCCTGAAGCTTAAGTTGCACACTCTGAAACCCCAAACCCCAAGCTTGTCCACTTGAACCCCAAAGCTCCTAGAAACCCCTGAACCTCCTCCCTCCGCGGCCTCAGGGCTTTCAGGGCCGTTGGGCTCTGAGCTCTCTGACTGCTGCGCGACCCGACGCCTGAGCCCCGGATTGGGGGCTTTAGGACCAAGTTTAGCAGTGGGTTTCGGGTGCAAGGAGGTTACTTCAGGAGATACATAACCAAGGTATCATTGACGGTATCGTTTGTGTCAGGCGGTGACGTGTCCCAAACCCGGCCAAGTGATTTCTCACCAAGGAAGCCAGCTCAAGGTAAGGTGCCTGCAAACGGGAGTACGCCAAGGCCCGCAAACGAAAAGCTGGGATCCTGCAGTAGGGCGACGAATTTGGAACTCACTGAGATCACAAAACAGATTCCACGTGAATCCCGGCCTCCTGCAACGAGCCCCAGAGCGAGCACGAATGGTCGCAGGGCGCGCGCCATGATACGACGCTGCACTATTATAAGACTATAACACATGACGTTGTGATATGTCATCCTTGCGAGACTGCGGATGGCAGTTGAGCCAAGGCATTGAGGCCTTGAGGCATTGAGGCCTCAAGCGTAAACTCACTGTTGTTGCGGCTAGATGCGGTCATAAACGTCCTGTGCCATTTTGCCGTGCACCCGTTTCTCGGTTTGCAAGCCGGATGAACCCAGACAGCGCATGAGGTTTCGTGCAGCCGGAGCAGTGCAGCTTCCGGGCCTGCAGCTGGTGCATCCTCCACCTGGAGCAATCCAGCCACACGTGCGGTTTACAAGGCAAAGGTACAGCCAAGCGTGATATTGCCTACGCCTGCTGTACCTCTGGATCTGTGCGGAATGCCCTTTCGAGAAAAAGCTGAAGCATTCGATCTGATGAGCCGGGTGTGGCTCTCAGGTGGTAAATTAAACCTACAGAACCCTAAACCCTCAAACCTGAAAAAGAAGCCCTAAACTCCTAAACTCCTAAAGCCTAAGTGTAAGAGGTCACGCCCTCCTCCGATTAGATCCTTTCATTTCTTGATTCTCTTGTACATTAAGAACCACTCAAAAACCAAGGCTAAAACACCCGCGCTTTTTCCGGAGACGAGACCTGCCTTGTGCTGCGGCGATACCGACCTTGGCCCTTTCTTGCCCCGTGGCACGCGCCTGCTCGGGAAACCGAAGTAAGCTCGTAGGTTCTGAGTGTAGGGATCAGAATGCAGGGCTCAAAACAGGCAGCTGCGGGAATGACGAGTAGAGAGCTTTCAGGCCAGTTGGCTTGTGGCTGCAGCGGAAGATGAGAATCAGGTAAGAGTGTGTTTTTGTAGTTGCGGTGTTCCTGTTGCGCAGGGTGCCTTTTTGCAGGCTGATGTTGCTGCGGGTGTGTTCATTAATCTGTTCTGCCACTGTCGGCTGACTCACTCGCTGCCCTCCGTGGGATGCTAGTTTCTTGCGGGGCAACCCAGCTTTGGCGTTGTTGGACGCCTGCTTTTTGCGGTCGCCGCGGGGCCAGTACAACAACAGCAAGGACGAGTTCAAAAACCATGCCACGCATAGTCTGAAAGAGCCGTGCGATGAACCGCTCCTGATATTGCATTTAATTTGGAGATCGCATATGACTGGTCTAGCGGCATGAGCAGATTGGAACATGAAGCTGCGAAGAAAGAAGAAACAGTAAAATGCAGAAAGACTGAAGAAGCAACTCTTTTTCAACATTGGGAAGCTCATTGCATGGGCATATCTCGGTATTCCGAAGCCTCCCGATCAGCTGCCACCCGAAACCCTCGGACACCAAAGCCTGTTGTCCCGGCGACGGGGTCGAAGATCTGAGACAAGTCAAGTCGAGAGATTCGAGGATTCAAGAAGCCATCAGGGCGTTTGGAGTTTAGGATCCTTTTTTTAGGGTGCTTCTTCAGGGTTCGGTGCTGTTTTTTTATCCCTGACAGTGTTTGGGTATCAGCTGCAAAACGGTTGCTGGGAATCTCACCTCTTGCTGCAGTCGCAACATTGGGGATCTCCTGAGCTCATTCAAAGCTTTGGCAGAGACAGCAGAATCTCGCTGTCACATGCTAGGGAGCCAAGGCTAAAACATCCAGTGAGAAAGCACTAAGGGGCCATCCGAATTCGGAGCAGCACTTCTTGACCTGGACGCTGAAAAAGGCTCTTGAGAGATTTCAAGGGCCTCCCTCTTTCGGCTCCTATCCATGGAAACCAAGTCGAAACACGCCTATACAAACCAGGAACAACTATTGCTTTCAGCTGACTGGGAAATCGATTGTTCCCACCGTCCGCCGAGTGTGAACCCAGAAAGAAGCAACTGCATGGGGGAGAATGAGAAGGGGGGGAGGAGGAGGAGGAGCGATAGCAGTCACTACTGTAGCAGGCAGTAGCACAGAAGCAGTCGCTGCAGCAGCAGCAGCAGCAGCAGCAGTCACAGGAGCAGTAAGAGGAGCAACTGGTGCAGGTTGGGCCTTGTCGGAGCTGCAGAAGCGCGCCACACACGCCTGGCAAGGCCCAGGGAAGTGTAGGGGAAGTTTCGGGGCCCTGGGGGGCTTAGGGAAGTTTAGAGTTCACAACCACGCGGCCTTGCCCAAGCTATCCAGACGAGCTCTGAAACATCCGATCCCGGGCCTGGCAAGCTCGCCAGGACCAGCGGCCTCCCCCGAGGAGGGCTCCTGAACTACTAAAGCCAAAACGCCAAAACCCCAAACACGGTTGCCCCTAAAGCTCATCAGAGTCCTGCTTTGCAACCGGACCCACGGATCTGGACCTGGCTGCAGCTTCTGGTGTCCTACCAGTCTAGGGTGACTGGTTGAGGGCAGAGAGTTCGCGAGGTTCAGGCTGTGTCCAGAGTATGGGCAGCAAGAAGAGGCCGTTACATCACCAAACCCTGTAGACCCTCCCTGAAACCCTACAAACCTAGACGAAGGGCTCCCGCCCTTGAAACCTTCCAGCTTTCGTCCTTCTGTCCTAGCATTCTGCAAATCAACCCTGAAGCTCCGCGACTACCATAGAGCCTCCTGGCTGGCGGCTTGGGAACCTCGGGCTACGAGCTATGCGTAAACGCATGCTCCAGCTTTCAGACACGCTTGAACACCTGGGCTTGAAGTGCTGCACCGCTGGGCTTTCTCTAAATCGACGGAATTGACACACCTTCGAACAGGACAGATCAACCAATGTGCAAGCTGAGCCCTGGACCGCCGCTACAGCAGGTTCCTGAGCAGAGCCTCGGTCATGAGAAAGGCTTTTGCCAGAGCCCTTGATCTGTGGATCTTAAGTCTGCGTCGCTTCAGATAGATTCTTAGATAGCCCTTTCAGCTGGTGCTGGAGCCGCTTGGGTACCAACAAAGAGGGGTCTTCTTCCGAGTCTACGAGTTCTATTTCAAGCATCGCTCGCAGCCTGCCAATCACAACTCCCAAATCCCCGGCATAAATCGGAGTTGCTCTGCTTCTGCCGCAGTCTCGCGATTTCATGATACGTACCAATGCATTGTAAGCCGACTCGCCTTGGCGGCACAAGACTCTCGGCAACTGTCTTCCTACCTTACGGTTCATTCTCCTCCTTGTTGCTGTTTCTCTTCTTCTTGCTTACATTCAGTATGCTGTCGGTGGTGCATGTCTGAATTCACTGCGTCTTTCCCAGACAGCTCGTCCAAGAGAATGGCCCAGAGCTGCCTAACTGCATCTCCGAAGTTAAAGGCTTCCGAGGCACCTGTCGGAGATTGCCGGGCACTGTGTTCGGGCTCCTCGGCTGTCGGGGCGCACGCAGGTGATGTAGGTCTTGTTCTGAATCCCGGAGACGAGGCCTCCGGGATGTCGAAGCCCTCCGCCGCCGGCTTCGTTGCCGGCTCGAGCTCGGAGCCTGCAAAACGTCTTTGGGTGCGCAGGGCCGGGGGCGAGGGCGGGCTTCGTGCCAGTGCCTGGCTCGTCCGAAGACTCCTGGAACTTCGAGCCCTCGGCATGTCCCATGTCCTTGACAGGCTCCTCGACCTGAGGCGCGCCTGCGGCGTCGGGACGGAACTGCACTGGAAGTCCCAGCCGTGCAAAGCGGCCTTCCGCCTCATCTTGAGGCTCCTGAGCGTTGCGCATCCGCACAATCAACAGCTCCACCCAGAAAGAGCGAGGCAGGCCTGGGTGGCATCCGGCTCCATGGTCCCCTCCTCACCTGACGTAGCCACAGGTCAGGCGAATGCTCAATGCAGCCAGAAGCTCGCCTTGGGAATGCTCGACACCCCCGGCGACGGGCTCCTATCGACGCCGACAGCACTTGCAACAGCTTGCAACAGGGACTCCGAGGGGGGCCTCAGCCTCAGCCAAGTCCCGGTTGCCTTTACAACAGAAAGAAGCGAAACGTATGAGTTCTTCGGTTCTTCGCTGTTGGAAAAGCTTGCCTTCATCTGGCCGGCGCTCACTCTCGAGCTCTCCGTTGGGCTCCGGCTGCGGGCCTCGAAGTTGAGCGCATAGGAAGAGCTTTCTCTCTGTGTGGATCTGGGCTGTGTGCTGGAATTCGCTGCGGCGTCGCCCTGCTCGCCCTCAGGCCACGGTGTCTCTGAAAGAATCTGCTGCATAGGTACATCACACTATGGACTAAGTGCCGGGCAGGCTCCGACTCGTCCGCAGCACCTCGGACGGAGCTTCTCCAAGTCTTCGTCACGTAACCAAACAGCCTAGAAATCGTTTGCGGGCGAGTCGAGGCCGCTGCGCTCATTCTGCTGGTCACCCTGCGCCTCCTTGTGAGGCTCCTCACTGTCACTTGATCTACTGCTGAGACCAGCACCTGACAATACCTGGTCTTGCTCCACAAACCCACAATTAATCAAGAATGCAAATTTAAAGGAGGCCCGCAGTCAAGGGAAAGCGAGCTTGACAAAAGATCCGAGGAGCAAACCTCAATTCAGGTCTCGATGCATGATAAGCTTCGGACGGTTGTTTGAGCCTGGCGGCCTTGCCTAACCTCTAAAACTGACACCATGAAGAGGAGAGCAGGAGTCATGAGCTTAGTCGGAGACCAAAAATTGCATAGACAGCAGTCAGCGCAGCCCGCCTTGTCGTCGTTTGTACCTGGAGGGCCACGGCGGGACCTCTGCATGAAAACACGTCGCATCTTCTGAATGGGCTTCATCTCCTGCAAGCACAATAGAAGCGGCCACAGGGATCACCGGCACTGAGCGTTGAGACAGCAACAGTGATGTCCTCCTGCTTCTGCGCATTGCTGCCATCTGCTTCAGGCTGCGTCGTCCAAACCTTCTCGCCCCGAGCAGAGACTCCAGAGATACGGACGAGCAGACATCTGGGGTCCTCCCTCGAAGCAGCTCTTAAATTCATGAGGTCAGGTCCCTCCGATGCCTCAGCGGCGTTGCAGCTTCCGGCACCTCGCTCAGCGTCCTGCACATGCGAGGACGGGCAAAACAGCGCCATGCTACACGGCAATACCCGATCGTAGCCACCTCCTCGGGAGCTTCCCGGGCAGTCGCTTCCTTGTCGTCCTGCCTTTGACAGAGGATTCGTGGAGGATGTAAGAATCCCGGACTCCCGATCACCCTCCCCACTCCAAATCAGAACCGAGGTGCACGGCAGGATCCTCGATTGTAGCAGGGACAGAGTCATCCACGGACTCCACGTTCAATGACTCCGGCGACTCTGCCCGGGTTGCTTCCGACTGCTCTCGGTGTACATCCACTTGTGCCTCAGCAGCCTGCAATTTTTGGGGAGAGCTCGGCTGGTTCCTTGTCGGACTAGGCTCGTCGTCGGAAGGTGCAGAATCAAATTGAAGCTCCACTTCACGTCGCTCGTCCTTCTCTGCCACTTCCTCATTGCCGAAACATGGACACTCTAATCACAGCTGGAGAGACAAATGTACTGCGTTCACTGGCAGTGGGCCTAAAATCTGTTTGGGAATACTGCGGCTCAGACGCGCCAGATACACCTGCTGAGGGAAGATCAGGTTCGGGTCTCTCCAGTTTTGCCACCGACTGCGGTTCCTGTAGTGCCAGTCAGATGCACCGTGACAGGCTCTGATTTTTGCACCAAGAACCAACGAGAAGTCCCGGGATCCCTTATCACATCCAGGTCACAGCCTCATATGGATCGATTTCCATCAGCACCTGAGTGACCGAAATCCCAAGCAACACCGCTACCCCAGCACTATCTTGTTGGTCTGACAGGCTGCAAGAACTGTTCTCTGATTAAGTCTATCACATGCCGACGCCATGCCACATCGTCGTCCTCGAGCCGCTCGACCATCGCCATGACCTTTCACTGCCACCGTGCCTAACCTGTCGAACTCGTGGGCAACGTGCACTGACCAATCCCAGCTTGCTTGACCAAAGCAGGGAAATTGCTGTTGAAATATGTCCAGTCTTATGCGCATTCGTTATCATCCAGCGTGTGATTACAGGCCGAAAGCCCATGCGGCTCCGGCCTCGCCGACCAAGCAGGCTCGAGCGCAAGGACAGCGAAGGACAAGGTGACCGGCTTATCTATCAGTCTCTGCTAAGAAAAGACTCTGTGATAGCTTCGGTATCATAGCTGCAACGCTCCTACCGTTGCTCATCTGACTCAACACCATCCTGCACAACATGATACCCTCTTCAGCAGCAATGCTACGGCACAGCAGCAAAGAAGGCGAAATGTCGACTGGCCACAGTGAGGAAGGTGCACGCAGAAATGCAAGAGGTCAACACTTCATCGATATTGGTCATTCAGAGGCTATGTGTCCGTAAATGCCGCCAAGATAACCATGGCCGGCCGAACAATGGTGACAAAACGCGAAATAACCCGTCTATAACCCGTCTAAATGCAGTTTCCGTGGTGCTCGATTCGTGCTCATGCAAGTTTCATGCAATAGAGTTCACACCATGCCAGCATTTTTAGGTCCGCAAATTTTGGCTCAGTTTCACGGCTCAATCCCAATGACGACGGAGCTTGCGTATAAAAATGCTTCTAACAGGCCTCCAACTCCTGCGCACCTTCGCCAAGAGTCGTCCAGCCATGGGACCGGCATTCCGTCAGACGGGAACTTAGGCAAGGCCACTTCGTCCGAAGAGATCTGCCTGTCCAAGAGTTGTAGTTGTGGTCTGCGCGTAGGCTAGCATGGAGCGCTACGATACCAGGCTTCTGCAAGATGCTGAGGCACTTTGCTGTGGGCCGCTTGACACCATTCCCCAAGGTGGATGCGCATGATCTCCCATGAGGCAAAATCGGGACTGCATGCTGGTGTTTATGAGCCATCTCTACAATGTGGCTGGCAGGTTCCAAGAGGTTCCCTTGGCATCGTAGCTGAAGAAGATAAGCTGTCATCCAGAGAGTCGAGACTTCCTACAATCTGCTTGCATGCAAGACATTCAATAAGAAAACGGAGCTAGTGGCCATCAAACAGAATTTCAGGCTACATACAAGCAAAACAAAGGTCAAGAGAGCATGGTAGCAGATGTAGACGACAACACAGAACATGGAAAATTCACCTGTCTCCATGTAGGTGTCACTCTCCAGCACCAGCGCAGGACAGTATGGCGACAAAACTAACCTGTTCTCAGCCTCTTCTGGCTCTCTATCTTTTACACGCGAAGGTCTTTAATTTTCCAAAGCACTCCAAATCCACGTAATCAGTTTATGCAGTTTTCCATACGTTTTGCATGCTGACAGAGTAGACTTGTTTCATTCTTTTTAAGTTTGGTTTATTCCAATTGTGAAGGAAAGTGTCATGCAAAGCAAGTCGTAGTATATACATCTCCTGATATAAAATATATTCTGAAAAGCTCTTCAATAAATCCAATATTGATTTCCATACAATCCGCGCAGCACTGGAAACGCAATCTTCTTTTTCCTCCGAAGAGGGCAATGGGGTCGAAACGGTTGTCTGAATGACGATCCATAAAGCGAAGCATGAGCACATGGTCACCAGCAGCGACACAAGGCTTCATACCATCGCACCCGCATCTACCCC